CCAGCCACGTCTCTGTTTCGCGAGGCCTGAGCCCGTGCCGTCACAGGGTGGTTGAGCTGCAACCCAGCGCTGCTGTTGCCCCGCGGGGCCACGCATGGTGGGACCGGCACGCACGCAGCCTGCTTGCACGAGGGCAGGAGGCGCTGGAGGAGCTGCGAGGGTGCACCAGGAAGAGAAAACCTGGCCCTGTGATTTCCTCATGCGTTGATGGGACAAGGGAGGCCCTGGGGCTTGGCTGCTTCTCCCACTGATGCCCAGGACGCTTTGGCTTTGGAGCTGGCCCGCTAACGAGCCCTAGCGTTTCGGGAGGCGTTATCTGTGCTATTATCCTGGTCACTATATTTCACCTGTCTGCTCCACTCCCGTGAGCGGTACCACTCCTGCTGGTACTTGCCTTACTGCTCACCGAGCGCGCTGTGTCCGTTCCACTTCTAGCGAGTGTTTTGCGAGCTAATACGGAGACACAGGAGGTGGCTTGAATTTAAGTGACGATGTTATCCCAGGGCAAGGGCAGAACGTCCAGACTTTCTGGCAGCTGATGCTTGAAAAGACTGCGGCGGTTTTGTTTCATTTCCTAGTGGGCAGGCGTCTGTTGCACAAGCCTTAGGAAGCAGCTTTTTAAAAAAATAAGCCTTTTGCATATGTGTGTGCTGGTCTCTTTTAGCCTGGCACCATGGGGAGCAGCAAGAGCAAGCCCAAAGACACCAGCCAGCGGCGGCGCAGCCTGGAGCCCGCGGAGAATGCCCACCACGGAGGCTATCCGGCCTCCCAGACCCCCAGCAAGAGTGCCGCTCCTGACACCCATCGCACCCCCAGCCGCACCTTCGGGACCATGGCTGCGGAGTCCAAGCTCTTTGGGGGGTTCAACACCTCCGACACCGTCACGTCGCCGCAGCGCTCCGGGGCTCTGGCAGGTCAGTGTAGCGTTGGGGCTCTCCAAGAGCACAGGGGTGCTTTGGGGATTACTGGTTGGGTTTGCGTGGATTTGGTTTGTGATGGTGTGACTTCCTCCTTTTGAAGGACTCTGCCTTTGAGCTAGGGAGGGTGTTCAATAAAAGAGCAGATCTGTGTCCTATCTGCTGGTTGAGGATGGGGGGAGAGGAGGTCCCCGAGTGAGGGCTGCCCCTGACCTTCGTCCACTCTCCTGGTGTGGCTGCAGCAAGCACTGTGCCGCTGAGCTTGCCTGTCCTCCTGAGCTTGTGTCTGTCACAGGTGGAGTCACCACCTTCGTGGCCCTTTACGATTATGAGTCCCGGACGGAAACGGACTTATCCTTCAAGAAAGGAGAACGTCTCCAAATTGTCAACAACACGTAAGTGTCCCTGCCCCTGTGCGCTGACCTTCACTGATGTGGGTGAGCTGGCATCTTCCCCCTTGTCGTGGACCCTTGCCAGCGGGGGACCTTGCTGGCCATCCTGCCCCTACAGGGTTTAGAGGGGTCTGAAGGAGTCACTGAGCCCCAAAGCTTCAGTGACAGATATCCCGTGCCCTCCCCGCGCACAAAGAGCCTTCTCCAGTATCGAGCTGCCCTCTCCCTTGGGTGAGGGCACGGGGCTGGGGCGGTGCTCAGATGACGAGGGCTGTGAACCCGCAACGAATGTGTCCCCAGCCCTGGGATGGGGTACAGTGTAGCAAGGGGAAAGCCCAGAAATGAAATGGGGAGGAAAGCTTCAAAGAGCCTCGAATGCAAACAGCACCTCCCTGTAGCGTTAGCGCTAATGTGCCGAGCTGGGACGCCCCCAGAAGCTGTGACTTGTCTGAGGACATTAGAGATGGTTGTTCAGGTGCTTGGGCTGCTCACGTTCCTGCGTCCTCCTGGCCCCTGCCAGCAGGCACCGCTGCTTTGCCACCCAGATGCCCCATGACTCTCAAGACGTTTTCTCATCCTGGTGGCAGCACCTTCCCTGGCACTTGTCTGTATCCTCCTCTGTGGGGTCCCGATCCTGCCTGTCCCTTGTCCCCATCAGTGCTCAGCTCCCTCTCGTTTGCCTGGAGATGCCTCTTCAACTTTGCTTTTTTCTAAGCTTCTCTCTTGACTTTTTTTTCTCTCCTGCACACCATGCTTTCATTTAGGAGAAAAGTGGACGTCAGGTGTGTATTGCAGATTACTGTTTTTATTATTAATGGATCTTAAATGGTAAAAGCTTTTATGCTGCCTGTTTTGGGGCAAGGTTGGGTGGAGCAGGGCTGGGAGGAGATGGTTTTGTGGTCAGCTGGGTTTCTGCTGCCTGGGTGAGCAGGACAGAGCATGGAGCCCCTTCCCATCCTGCAACACAGCTCTCTCCACAGCTCTGTCTGTACTGCGGACGTCTGAACTTGGCCTGCTCGCCTTGTCTCTGTCTGGCATCCCTCAGCAGTCCCGTTTCATTTAACCTGTTGCTCCTTCCTGGTCTTTTTTGCCTATTCTTTTTTCTCATCCAAGCAACGAAGTGTGAGAGTCACTCGGGTGACTCAGGCGCATCCTCAGGGTTGTGGCTCCTGTTATTTGCTCTCCGTTGTGGTCATAACAGCACATCCATTGCCTGACGCAAGGGGCAGGGCAGTGTGATGAGCTGGAAGAGTAAATGGTCCTAAACATGCCCTGTATTGAAACTGCGTGTGGTCCGTAGTGAGGATGTGTGTGCGGGTGGCCTGCAGAGCCAGCAGCCTGGTTGCGCGCAATGGGGAGTGCCTGCCATTTAGCAGCTTTCACTCTCCCCTCTGCTGCTTCCTTAAAACCTGGGAACCAAAAACAACATTGCAAAGTCAAGAAGTGGAAACGTCAGGGAATGTCCCAGAGGTAATTCTCCTCCTGCAGCGGTCGGGCAGTATTGTGCACATGCTTTTTCTATTTGATCCTTATTTTCCTTATTCCAACACTGTATGTTAACGGTGATGCATTTAATCCATGAAGCCTGAGATGTTCAGAGTGAAGGACTTCAACAGTGCAAGAAAAGCCTTAATTTGGGGTGTTCAGTGACTCTTGATTTCACACTGTCATTGATGTACTAGCCCCAAGCTTTTTTTCTGATTTGTGCTTCCACAAAGTGAGCTCTGCCTGTCAAGGATTCTAGACTGTGCTGATAGCTCAGGGTTTTTTCTTTAGGCATTAAAGCACCACAGGGTTTCTATCCTTTTTTTTTTTTTTTTCCCCCTCTCCTGCTGTGGTTTTTCAAAGGCTCGGTCAGAGAGAAGGGTCTGTGTGGTACATGCTCTGCAGCATCCTGGCGAACAAAAGGACTGGGCTGGAGATGCAGAACATAAGAAATCAAAGGTGCATTGTTTAGCTACTGACCCTTCTGGTATCTGGTGCAACTATGTTGATTAGACTTCCAGAGGGAGACAGACTGTGGAAAACTCCTTTGCACAGTGCTAGTGGAGGAGGAAGTGTCTCTTTGTGTTGAATGCTTTCAGCCCTTCAGCCTCCTGCTCTGGTGCCCAGGTGCTCCAGACAGTCTTCGAAGAGCTGCCCACCTTGTCCAGCGTTCGTGCTGACTTATTTCGTGGCTCGTGCTTGAGCCATGTGCTCCAAGCGCAGTGAGCTCGAACACTGACGATACTGTTTTCCCTCTGAAGAGGCTCATTAGAAAAATGTGGCAGCCAGAGGGTGTTGCTTGGTGGTATCTGCACAGCCTTTCCTGGTGGGCTGGGAGTCATGTAATGCTCTTGTGGAACTTGTCTGGCTGAGTTACATGCTCATGTTACATGCTCTAATTCATGCCTAGTTTTGAATGAATCCAGACGGATCTCTGGAACTGCAGAGTTCAGACCTTTTAGCACTGTTCTGGAAATGCTGGACTTGCTCCAGTCCAAATGAAATTGGAGGGGAAAGAGCCATATGGACTGAAATGAGATAACTGCAGACCTCCAGGGAAGGCAAACACCCGGTGCTCCACGGCTCAGCCTTCAGAGGAAGGAGCTGCGAAGTTTTGGAGCTGGGGAAGGGAAGCATGCAACATCTTCTGCCTCTGGACTTTGAGAGAGGAGTCGTAGCTGGAGCCCAGGAGGCTGGCAGGACTATCAAGAAGCTCTTCTGGGCAATGCTGCGTTTAGTCTGAAAAGGGCTACCAGGTCCTTCCCAGAGTGGCAGCCCAAAGTCACAGGCTGCTTGGGACCGCTTTTCAACGGGGCTGACGTTCAGGAGTGGGTCCCGACCAGAGCAGCTGTTTGCACGGAGAGCAGCTCTATACTTTATCATGAACCAAGCTCAGCTGGAGACCGGCCACCACCCCCTTTTGAGGCTTGAGGAAACAAGCCTCAACTGCAGCCTCTGTGGCCAGAAGGCCTGTCCCTGTGCTGTAAGGTCAAAGCCAAGGGCCACTGTCATTGTTTGGCTGAGCTGCAGGCCAACGTTTTTCCAAGGCGACTAGTGGTTTTGTCTGCTGCAAGGGGGCTGCATTTTCAGAGGGTGAGAGGAGACAGGGCTTGGGAAATTTGTTCAGGCCAATCTTGGCTGCAGCAGACCCAGGGCTTAGCTTGGGACAAGTGGAGGAAGAGCCAGCCCCAAGCTCGAGTTGTCCCTGCGCGTGGTCGCCATGTCACTCACCCCCTGCTCCGACGTCCTGTGCCGGCAAAGCCCAGGCTGTCCGTGGAGACACTCTGCTTCCCTGAATGGCCGGATCCATCCGTGGCAGTGAAGGAAAGGCTCTTGTGGTGCCGTTTCCAGCAGGAGGAGGTTTCCTCCCAGCCAGCTGGCGGTCAGCGGGGTGTAACGGGGTGTTTTGGGTAAGATCGTGCAGGGAATTGTTGAAATGCTTTGTTCTGATTTTTTCTTTTTCCTGTCCCACTGAGACGTTTTTGGAATGGTTTGTTTTTGCAGAATTCCCAGATTGCAGCCTTTCAGCCCAAGCTGGAATAAAGCCACAAGTTGAAATCTGGGCATTTCTCAAGCAGATGTTTTCTCCAGTCCCATGGGAAAGGAGGCTGAACCAGTCTCCTGCCCCCTTTGCAACCGTCCCAGTGAAGGTGACTGGAGCAGCAGCTCCGTCCGGGGAGCCGTGG